AGCCTTGCAGGAGTTTGTTACCATTGGACCTTGTCATCTCGTGGGGTGCTCTGGTGAACAGGCTTACCCTCGTATCCAGATGCACACCCCTTATGTACTTGTAGGCTGCTACCAAGTCATCCCTGGGCCTGCGCTTTTCCAGGCTGAGGAGTCTCATGGCTCTCAGCCTCTCTTCATAAGGGCTGTTCTGTTGCCCTCTGATCATGCGTGTGTGTGATGATCATGATCAATTAATGCCCCTCCCTTTCTGGATCGGTCACTGCAGCACCAGATGCTGTCACACGCTAGTTTTGAGAACTCTGTGAATACAGTCTATCTGAACTCTACTCAATGCAGCGTTTACCTGAACTGCTGCCCAGCTTTGTTGCCTGTGGCATGGCATGTCCCTCTGAGTTTCTTGTTCCAAGCAGTCTGAGTAGATAGCTGTTAGTCTGCCGCACCTATTACTCATCCTCTCTGACTGACATTCTGAATCTAATACAAAGCCTCCAGGACCAAGTTGCTAAACCACAGGTGCAGGATGCTGTGCTGCAGGCAGAAGTTCATGACTTGCAAAGCAGGTTTCATTACTGGATGTATCTCATAGCAGCAGAGAGAAATGTAGTTCCTAAACCAGTGTCATGTACTTTTACAGCTCCACCTGCTAAGGCATCCAACTGTCAAAGGTGTAGCAATGCTCAGGTTTGAGCAGATAGCAACAGATGGCTTTAGGGCCTCTGTGCGTGCATACCTTTTGTGCTGTAAATGCCAATCCCAGTGGGCTCTGTGTTATAAATTCTTAGTGGGCGTGCGTCCGCCCTGTCTTTGAGTGGTGACTTGTCATCACATTTGTTTTGCGGATGTGAGTTTCCAAAAGCAGGATGGAGAGGTGATTCTGGGGGCCATGTTACTGTGACAGTACAGCTCTGATCACAGAATTGGATATATCTGTTTTGGTTATAAAGGGTTTTACAAGATCTAGACATGCCAGCATAGGTTTTAGCGTGTACTCTTCCTTTAAACAATTGAAGAGGAACTGCATGTCCTTTCAGAGAAGTACAGTCATTTGGGATACCAGTTTGGAAGTCTTTAATGCCATTGAGGGAGGTTATATACCAGTAATCTAAAAATTACACAGAAGATTGGTCTAACTAGCATTTTCTAAATTCACATACAGACTACTTTCCTAGAGACATTTCAGTACTAGCCAAACATGTTGTCCATGGGAAGATTGGCTTTCTGTGAAAATAATGGTATTGCCACCATTATTGGGCTAGATAGAAAATGCCATTGACAGAGTTCTGGAAGGTAGCTGGAGCATCTGAGAAACTAAAAGGCATCACCAGATAATCAAAATAGCCATACTGAGGTCTGCACTTTTTCCCCCACTCCATTGCTTTTATGGATACAAACCAAATTATAGGTGCTGAGGAGGTCATGCTAAACAAAGATAAACACAGATGATGTTGTTACTCATCGGATCTCACTATCCCTTTTCAGCAAGATTTATTTCTGATCAGAATGCCACCAGCAGCCAGCTCTCTGATTCTGATTTCGTGAACAAAGAGAATTCTCTGCTGCAACTATTACATCTACATCCTACATGGTCAGCCACAACTTTAAATTCCCAAAGTTTGTGATGATGTGTGTTATAACTCACCTCTTGCCAATGAGTTGGTACATTTTAAGAAATTTCTGGTAGTTGAGGATGCGGTTCTTTATCAAATCTTAAGTCCTGCGCTATATTTTCTTGAACAAAGACTTGCCAGGAGAGACCTTTTGATCTCCTCCTGATGTGTCTAGCCTATTTCAGCCCTTGTTACACATTTCCATGCATTCCACTGTCAAGCAGCTCAGGTCCAAAGCTGGCATAGTTATCTTAGCTGTTCTTGATCAAGTCACTAAAGTGTCACCTTTCATATCATGCCTTCAAGTTCCCATTACTGAGGGACTGGCCTGGGTCTTACTGGTTCATGGTTTCAAAACTGTTGGTCTGTTATCTAGCAATCTCAGCCACCTAAGTGTCAAATAAACTTTTTAGTTTTGATGTAAACCTTTTACACTGTTGAACTACAACCTTCTACCTACTATGTCCAGATTGATGGACAGACTGACCAGATTAGCCAAGTCTTTAGACAGTATCTCTGTTATCTTGTCAGTTATTACCCAGTGGGTCTCCCTCCTCCCTTTCTCGCAGGTACCTGCTACAATTCTGACTATTTATTGACCCATCAAAGATCCTCATATAACAATTAAAGATTGCATCCACAATTTTTCATCTGTGCTTAGCTACGGTCCCTTATACTCCTAAAGTTACCAGCTTAGTTCAGAATCTATGCCATGCCTGGTACGAACTGAAAGAGCATCTCAACTTTGCCAAAACACCCATCAGTCTTGTGCAGACAGATGCCACTAGGAAGCATCCCATGTCAGAGTTTGTGATGCAGTGTGAATGTCACCACAGAATTTTGACTTTACTCAAGCTTCAAACAAATTGGAATACCAACATCTGAATCTATTCAAAGTCAGCTAGCAAATCAGCTCTCTCACCTTCAAATTATATTTACCCAAGTCAATAAAACTGCACCTGATTTTTCAGATCATGTTATTAAAGTCATGACAGTTGGTTTCTGGCATGATCGAACTCTCTACTCATGTTGATTGCTGTTCAAGGGCCTTGAGAATGATGTATGTGAAAACGTTCTTGCCCCTAAGCTTGTTGGAGGAAGCTCATATATCCAGTCAAGTGGAAAGGATATGGGCCAGCCAGCTAGGGAGTCTGCTAGTCATGTCCCTGTGCTTGATTTGATCTAGGAATTAACCACAACCCACCCTGTTGATTGGTCACCACAGTGCCAGAAGCCATCCCATGCTACTTCCACTTTGAGTTCGAAAAGATAAGTAGATGACATGTAACAACAACACAGGTAAAGGCTAGTGGTAAGATGCAGGAAGGAGAAATTTTTTAAGCAAGCAGTATCATGTCTCCTTCTCTGCCAGACTGAGATTCTTCAGGGGTTCCACATGTGTTAATTTTGTCTGCTGGTACTCACAAGTGTAATATTTAACATTGGTTCTAGGCAAAGGTCTATAAATACCAGGGAGAGAGAGAGAGACTAGAACCAGACGTTTGGTGAAGAATCTTGAAGGTAAAGGCACTTGGCGTTGAAAACTGCAGCACTGGAGTTAAAACAGGAAGATTTAATTTTTAAAATGTCTTTTCTATGCTTGTTTGTCATTATCTCTGTTTGTATTATTTTTTAACTGCATACAGGCAACCCCTGACATTCTGATTAATTGTCTTGTGACATTCTCCTTTTTTGTTACACGGGTTTCAAAGTACCATGCAGGATTGTGCAGTGCCAAGTGCCTTATGGGGCTGAGCTTGTCAGTGCTGTCAAACTGTCTCTCAAAAGATGCCTGTTAGAAACGCAGGGATTTTTGGATCATTTGTTTGTTCTAGTGTTTGTTTTGGATTTGGTGCACCTCAGCTTGGGTGGGTTGTGTCCCAGTCAAGATTTACAGGAGAATGCCAGTGACTAGTCTTAACACATCAGAGCTAAACAATTGCTCATTGGGGTTATGCTTTAAAAAGGAGCATGGCAGCTGTTTTCACCAGACCATCTCACTTTGTGGATTTGTCCATTTGGGGAATGGGTCCAGAGTCTGAGCAGCTGCTGCCACACTGATGAGAGCCTCCCAGTACAGACCCTGATTCTTAGCCTTTTCAGATCACAAGTTCCCTGACTGAAACCCAGGGTTCTGCTCATCCCATCTCTTTTCTCAGGAGAGTCTGAGGCACAAGATAAAAACAAGGATAAAAGGTAGTTTCCTCTATATCTGTCACTGTTGTTACTTACATAAATGGTTTAACTTGAAAGAGAGAACGTGTGAGGCAAAGAGATTTTGGGAGGAGAGCAGGGGGATGGGAGCAGAGTGGACTGAGGGAAGAGAACAAGGGGGCAGAAGCAGGAGGAAGAAAATCTGGGAGAGGATAGAGGAAGGAAGAGTTATAGAGAGAGGTAGAGAAGACTGATGCATTAAACACATTTTTAACCAAAACGTTTAATTTTTTTATTGAAATTGTACATCTCATTTTTTTTCAGCCCACCGTAGTGCAGATAACAGTCATGCTGCTGTTTTTCCATTAACCCAGCCCCCAATGCGTTACCCCAGCTGCATGCTCCACAGATCTCTGCCTCAGACTCCCCAGTCTGAAAAACGTTCCTGACAAAGAAGCAAGAGATGTTGTCTGCCAGAGAGGGGTGGAAGGAGAATGGACATGGTTACAAGGTTTGTTTATCAGTGGTCTTTGGATGGTGCAAGACCTCAGCGTGGGTGATGGATCAGTATAAATTAAGGTTCTTACTGCTGAAATAGTCACCAAGATGAGAGGTAGCAAAATATCTAGAGCCAAATTTTAAGCAGGTTACCTAGCATCTCTGAATACTTTCCATAGGTGCTGCTGCATGACTGAAAACCTGGCCATTAGTTATTGTTATTGATTACTTAAGTGCCCTATTACCAACTTCAGCACTGCTTAATGGGAAAATTAGCCACTCTTTGGGACCCCTACCTTTGTTACTTTTCCTCTCCTACCCTCTCTTCTGTTTCTTGCCTTCCTGCTTCCCTTCTCATTTTTTCTATTTTATCAATCTCCTGTTTTCTACCCCCCTTTCTCAAATCATCTGCTAAAATAATCATCAACATAGTCTTCCTGGACTTTCGGAAGGCCTTTGACACTGTCTCTCACCCTGTTCTCATTAAGAAACTGGGGGCTGTGGTGTCAACACCCACACAGTCAATTGGGTCGCCAGCTGGCTGGAGGGCCGCACCCAGAGAGTGGTGGTGAACAGGTCATTTTCGACCTGGAGGGATGTGAGCAGTGGGGTCCCCCAGGGCTCCGTCCTCGGGCCCGCGCTGTTCAACATCTTCATCAGCGACTTGGATGAAGGGGTAAAAAGCACCCTGTTCAAATTTGCTGATGACACTAAGATGTGGGGGGATGTGGGCACTCTAGAAGGGAGCAATAGGCTACAATGGGACCTAGACAGGTTACAAGGGTGGGTGGATGAGAACAGGATGGGATTCAACACTGACAAGTGCAAAGTGATGCACCTGGGGAGGAACAGCGGGCTCCATACCTACAGGTTGAGGAACTCCCTTCTTGTCAGTACAGAGGCAGAAAAGGATCTTGGAGTCATCACTGACTCCAAGATGAACATGGGCCAGCAGTGTGGGGACGTGGTCAGGAAGGCCAACCGTACCTTGTCATGCATCCACAGATGCATCTCGAGCAGGTCCAAGGAGGTGATCCTCCCCCTCTATGCGGCACTGGTCAGGCCACAGCTGGAGTACTGTGTCCAGTTCTGGGCGCCGCACTTCAAGAGGGATGTGGACAACATGGAGAGGGTCCAGAGGCGGGCCACTCGTATGATCAGGGG